CTTCCTCTCAGAACTTCTAGATTGTCTTTCGTCGCTTACGGTAATACCGGTATTATAGGGTAGGCTCTTTTGCTGCCCCTGAAATAATGGGGTTGTCTTTGAAAAGACTGAAAATTCTTCAAATCTAGTGTTGTGTTTTAGTGTTACGTGGAGTAGGAGATTTAATAAAAACATTCTGAAGCAAACGGTAATCCTTCATAGAAAGACCTGGGCCGTGGGATTTCCTATCTACCTCTCAGAAACTAACTACAGCGGAATAAGTTGCATTGAATGGATTGGGGTACATATTCCTAACCCTAACTGTTTGTACCCCCTACTGCACAACCCACTAACGGCTAGAACATTTGACACACCCCCATAGTCTAAGTGGGAAGTGCAGAGTAACAACAAGCAACCTAAGGTCACAAGACCAGTCATAAACAAGAGACAAAACAAAGCTCAGGGTGGATCACAACGTCACCACACAGTCTGAGCGCAAACAACGGCCATAAGGCCAGTTCAAGAGTGTATATGCAAATATATACAATACAAGTAAAGAGAAGAGGCAAGAACTCACTACTGCAGTCTACTAGACCCAATCTCAACCGGCGGTGGTCACAAGGCTGAAGAGCCTTGGTGAAGATGTCTGCAGTGTTGGCCTCGGAGGCCACGAAGTCCAGACGTGCCTGCCCGCGTCTCTGCAACTCTCGAAGGAGGAAGTACCTGACGTCGATGTGCTTCACTCTGCTCTCCAGTCGAGGCTCACGACACAGGAGAATCATCGCCTTGTTGTCAGCAAACAAGGTCGGTGCAGAGCTCGGCCTCTCACCAAGGTCAGTGAGCAAGAAGGTCAACCAGTGCAGCTCCTATGCAGTAAGGGCTCCAGCGTAGATCTCGGCCTCTGCGGTAGAAGTCGCAACAGAGGAGGACCGAGTAGACCTCCACGAAACAGCTCCAGAGCCCAGACTGAAACAGTAACCCTGCGTAGACCTCTGAGTCTCAACGTCGTCGGCGTACGAGGAGTCGCAGTGACCGGTGAGTACAACTGGCTGTGTCCCTCCAAGTACAAGCCCCATGTCTGATGTCGTGGCGAGGTACTTCGCCACCCTCTTAGCCGCCGTCCAGTGAACAGGACGGTGTCTCCCAGTCGCAACAAAGCGAGAAAGGATGCTAAGAGGGAAGGCGAGGTCCGGGCGAGTGCACGTCATCAGGTACATGAGGCAGCCCACCAGCTCTGCGTAGAGACCACTGGGCTGGAACGACTCGTCAGGAAAAGGCCCAGTGAGTCTGTGGTCTACAGCAAGAGGAGTGGGTGTAGGAGAGGAGTGCTGAAGCCCGAACCGCTGAAGGACCTGCTGCACCATGTGTGACTGAGTCAGAGTAATGGTGCGAGCGGCTCTGTCCCTGGAGATCTGCAGGCCAAGGTAGCGGCGCAGTTCCCCAAGGTCAGTGCACGTGTGTCTCTTCTGCAGTTCGGACTTCACCTCCGCCAGTGCAACTGTGTCTGCTGTGGCAAAAACCAAGTCGTCAACGTAGACCAGAACGAAGAAAGGTGTGCGCCCACGACGAACAAACAGCGACGGGTCGGCGGAAGACGGCTCAAACCCGAGGTCGGACAGAGTAGAGCGAAGAGTGTCGTGCCACTCACGGGGTGCCTGGCGGAGACCGTAGACCGGTCGTCTGAGGCTCCACTGGGTCCCAGGCGGGAAGGTGCCAGTGAAGCCCGGAGGACGACGCAGCCAGATCTCCTCGTGTAGGCTGCCCTGCAGGAAGGCAGTGGAGAAGTCGAGGGAGTGTAGCTCGTAGTCTCTCTGCGCTGCTACGTGCAGTAACACCCGAAGAGTGGTCATCTTCGGGGTGGGCGCGAAGTTCTGAAAGAAATTAACCCCCTCGCGCTGACTGAACCCTCTAGCCACGTAGCGTGCCTTGAAGACTGGGGGAGATCCCGGTGGCCGCTTCACCTTGAAGATCCACATGCCGTCAACTATGTTCGCCCCTTGGGGGGGGAACCTCATCAACGTAAGTGCCTGTGGACCTGTAGGAGGCCATCTCTGCGTCCATGGCAGCTCTCCACTAAGAGGCCCAAGGCCCTGACACTGCCTCAGCGTAAGTGCGAGGAGTAGGTATGTCAGGAGCGTCGGGGTCTCCCTCAGGAGTGAGCAGCATGGCACAGAGATGAGGCGAAGCGGCTGCCAGGAACTCTAGCTCAAACTGTCTATCCTCTAGGACGGCACAGCCAAGGGCAAACTCACCCCCGGCGGACAGAGGACGGACAGGAGGAGCGGCCACAACACGAGTGGCGTAGTCAAGGCGACGCGTAGCAGTAAAGTCAGTGACAGCGGCAGTGAGGACCGCGACAGAGGAAGGAGAGGCACGGGGGTCTGTAACAAGAGAGGCGAGAACACGAGAGAGAGAGAGAGTGGGGCGGTACGTGCGGTAGTAGTCAGTGACCGGAGTGGACAGGGAGGCAGTGAGGGACGACTCAGGAGGACGAGGAAGAACAGACGGAGGAGGACGAGGAGGACTAGGACGAAACAACACGGTACGGAGGTCAGTGACAGGTGACGAGGGACGAGCACGAGGAGGACGAGAGGCCCAAGTGTGGGCGAGAGGAGAGGGAGACGGAGGAGACTGAGAACGAGGGAACACAGCCGGAGCTGAGTCCGGAGGAGGAAACGTAGGACCGAACACAGGAGGAGAGGAGGGGAGACCAAGGGTCCTAAGGCCAGTAACAGGGGCCGGAGGCTGCTGCGGCTACTGCTGTTGCTGCAGCGGCGGCTGCTGCTGCTGCTGCTGCTGCAGCTCCCACTACAACTCCAACCTCTCACGCTCCACCCGCTGCTGAACCTCCAACCTCTCATGCTCCAAACGCTGCTGCTCCTCACGCTCAAGACGAAGACGGGCCTGGTGTCGAGTCGGGTAGGAGTGAGGAGGAGGAGTGGTGGCAGGGGACGAAGAAGAACCGGCTCCACCCTCGACAGGACCCGGCTGAGCACCCCCAGAGCGAGTACCCCCTGCGGCAGCACGACCAGCACCAGTAGGAGGTGAACGCGCACCCCCAGTCGTGGTGCCTCCAGTGGCACCAGCACCAGCCCCAGACTCTCCAGCTCCAGAAACACCACCAGCTCCAGCACCACCACCAGCTCCAGCACCCTCGGAACGGGCAGCTGCAGAAGGTGCACGCTCAGCGCCAACGCCAACACCCCCAGAACGGGCGGCTCCTGTAGGTGCACGAACAACTCCAGCGCCAGCACCCCCAGAGCGAGCACCGCCAGAGCCCTCACCTCGAGCACCAACACCCTCAGAGTCCGCAGTGGCCGGTAAAGGAAGCGCTGACGGCTGCTGCGGAGGCTGTGAGGACGACTGTGGGGAAGGAGGAGAGACCTGGGGGGGTACCGAGGGGGGGGGAGTAGCGTGGGACACACCAGACGGAGCGGGAACAGGGGGGGGTACCGGAGGAGCAGGGGCGGGAGGAGGAGGAGCTGGAGCCAGGAAGAGGGGGAGGGGGGGAACCGGGAGACCTCGACAGGGGTACCGGACGTAGTAGGGGACGGACTCGTCGAAACGGACGTCACGAGAGTCAAAGAACCGGTGGGAGGGAGGGTGGTAAAAGGTGAAGTCAGAGGAGTCCTTTGGGAAACCAAGGAAGACACAGGGGACGGCACGAGGCGAGATCTTGTCCGCAGAGGTGTCGCGGACAAGAGCCAAGCAGCCCCAGACACTAAACCTCGACGCAACACCAGGGGACCCTGTCCAAAGACTGGTCGGTGAAGCCCCTGGCCGAGAGACGCGAGGCCAGAGGTTCAGCTGGTGAGCGGCGTACCGAGCCGCGTAGGGCCACAGAAAATGGGGCGCGCGGGCGTGGATCATGGAGGTGCGGGCAATCTCCATGACCAAGCCTATGCGGTGCTCAGCAACCCCATTCTGCTGTGGAGAGTCTGGAAGAGTCCAGGACTGGGTGATGCCCTGCTCAGCACAGAATCTGGTGAGAACGCCGGAGCGAAACTCACCCCCACGGTCGGAGTGGAGACAACTGACACGACGACGGCGAGTACTCTCGGTGGCGAGCAGCCACCGGATCAGCGTAGAAGTCACGTCGGACTTCTTCGCCAAAGGGAACACGGTGGTGTACCGAGAGTAGTCGTCAACGACCACCAGAAAGAAACTCTCCCGCTCAGGGCCAAGACGGCGAGCGGGGCCCCAGACGTCTAAGTGGAGAGTCTCGAAGGGCTCGGTGGCCGGACGAAGGGAGGAGGAGTGAGGGGTGGCGCACAGCCGACCCTGGACACAAGGACCGCACGGAGGAGCTGGGGACGGCGGGAGCGGCGGGAGGACTCGCGGGAGGCCTAAGACAAGACGCTGACTGGACATAGCACAGAGACGAGGGAGGGACGGGTGACCAAGGCGGTGGTGCCAGAGGAGGGAGGGGTGGGCAAGCGACCGACACGAGCACGACGCAGCAACCTGACCGGACACAGCAACCTGACTGGACTCGGCTACCTGGTGGGACAGAGGAACCTAACAGGGGTCGGTGTGAAGGGTGTATAGACCAGAGCCCGGCTCCTGGCGAAAAGTGGCCAAGGGGGCGTACGTGTCACCGTCCACACAGACCGCGGTGTCACCAGAAGGCTCAACCCAGACCCCGACGTGCTGTCTCGCCAGGGGGCCCACACCAACCAGGTTCCTAGAGAACGTAGGAACGTGGAGGCCAGTCAGGGAACCGGAAGGGGCAGCTGGGCACGGGAGGGTAGTGGCGTGAGTCGCAATGACAGGTCCCGAGGAGGGATCGGCTAGTGCGATAGAGACTGGCGCCGGCAGTGGAGAGAGAGTCGTGCGGTCGCGGAAGAAGCACTGCGTCGCTCCTGAGTCCAGTGTGAACGAGAGAGACGAGTCCGCCGAAGGAGGACCTGTACTACTAGCTAAACAAGATCCTACACTAGCACCTACTCTAGCAACAGGCAAAGATCCTACGCTAGGTACAGGCAACTACACAGATCCAGCAGCACTATAGTCAACATCAG